GATATATATATATATATATATATATATAAATTTTAAAATTAATTATTTAATGTCTCAAAAACTTTTTACTCCGGAAACACCAATGTAACTAAAAACGTTCTGCAGCAAAAACAAACAAACAAAAAATTTAAACATATTTTAATTAAAAACACAGCAACAAATATATTCTGGGTCTGGATTATTAAAAGTGATAAAAACAATAAATATGATGAATAATGCGTTTCCTTTCAATTAATTTCACATTTAGGAGTTCAGTTTGTTTACAGCACCAAAACAATATGAGGTAAACAAAAACAATTCTGTCTGAACAGAACAGGTTTAAATCCAGTTACAGTCAATTAATCCCAGTTACAATTAACAAAGTATTTATGGGATTCATCTAACAGCGAGAAAACCCTATTAATAACTATTAATAATTATTATTAACTATTAATAACTATTGATAAGTATTAATAACAGCTGCAAACAATAAACTCAAAATGAAGTGTGAAAGGTAGATTCAAAGTAAAAACAGTATTATTTAAAGTGACAAATGTAATTTGAGGATTAAATAATTATAATTTTTACTGCGTAAAATAAGTCGGTATTGTTCCAAACTGGTGAAGGAAGCGTGTTTGTGTTTGTGTGTTTGTGTGTTTGTGTGTTTTTGTCTCAGTCTAAAGTGTCACATGTTGTCATGCGTGTGGATTATGACTGATAATAAATAATCCAAGATGTGCAGTGGAGTTTGTGCAGTTTGCTGCGCGCGGGCCGACATCACTCTCATGAAGAGCTTTCAAAGACGGATCGCGCGCTCCGCACATGTTTAAACACTTTGTAGTGCCTGAGCCGCGCGCGCGTTGGTGAGACTGTTATGATGTGTGGCCCACAAAGCCACAATTAGTTGAAGGAGGTCAGGAGGAGCAGGAGGAGCAGGAGGAGCTCAGTCAGATCAGACTGTAAAGATGTAGAACAGTAAATGTTGTTCTTAACTGCTCATTTTATGAATTTATTAATAGTGAAGCAGCGCGTGTTTGAGGGGAATAAAAGCATAAAGAAGTTTTGTTTTTGCGCACACTTTTAAACACGCGCTTTGTTTGTGCTGTGTGCGCAGAGAGCTGCGGGCTGGTGTCCCGGGAGGAGGCGGCGGAGCGCGCGCAGGGGGGCTCGGAGAGGCCGGTGCAGAAGCAGAGGAGCCGCCGGAGGCCGCGGGTCCTCTTCTCGCAGGCGCAGGTCTTCGAGCTGGAGCGGCGCTTCAAGCAGCAGCGCTACCTGTCCGCCCCCGAGCGCGAGCACCTGGCGACCACCCTGAAGCTCACCTCCAACCAGGTCAAGATCTGGTTCCAGAACCGCCGCTACAAGTGCAAGCGCCAGCGGCAGGACAAGTCCCTGGAGGCGGCGGGGCAGCACCAGCACCCGCCGCCCCCGCCCCGGCGCGTCGCCGTGCCGGTTCTGGTCCGGGATGGGAAGCCGTGCCTTGGCGGCGCGCAGAGTTACCCCCCCGCGGCTGCTTACGGCTCCAACCCGTACAGCTACAACGGGTACCCGGCCTACAGCTACAGCAGCCCGGCCTACAGCAGCGGCTACAGCTGTCCCCCCGCGCTGCCCCCGGCCTCCACCCCCAGCGCCTTCATCAACATGAACTTGGGAACCATGAACGGCCTCGGCGGCCCCCCCCAGACCCAAACACACCAAGGGACAGCGGTCACATCCTGCCAGGGCTCCCTGCAGGGGATCCGGGCCTGGTAGCTCCAGAACCGAACCCTTTACTTTAACTTTCATTTTTTAATCAAGCCACAACTTTTCACGTGTATCACTCGGATCGAATGCTTTAGGAAACACTATTTCCTCACATGTGCGTTGGGAGTCATGTGTCCAGTTCCGGACCCACTGGGTTCTGATCCAGTTCTTACTGGTGCTTTTATTATTGTGGCGCTGTGGGACAGAAGCGCAAAATGCGCGCGCTGGCGCACTTCTTTCATGTGGTCCTCCAAACAGAAGAGAAACAGTTTGTTTCCCAAGTTGTTCTCAATGTTTGCGTTTTCAAGAGAGAATTGTTTGAATCTATTTCACATTTATTCAAATAAACTATTTCAAAAGGCGCGTTCTGGTTCTGGTTGTGTGTCCGGCCCAAAATAAACTTCAAAACATGGAGAATTCACAAAACCGGCAGCAGAACATCTAAAGTTTCATTTCCATGTGAATCAGCAGCAAATTATGAGACAAATTTAGCCCATAAACACATGGCGGGGGGGGGGTGCGGGGGGGCCGGGCCACAGGAACTCTTTGTCCGGGTGCCAGGGGCCTGAAAGGAGGAAGTTTTTTTGTCTCTCTCCATTTGAGCTCCTTAAAGGACGCGATTAAAGCAGCTCAACACCCCGAAGAGCGCGCTGCAGCCGGCCTCTGTTGGACCGGACAAAAGGTGCGTGGTGGGCCGAACCGGGCCGAACCGGGCCACTCAGCAGAGACAAAGCGCGCGGGCCGGACAGATTGACGTCCTAATATTCGTTCAGAGGAGACACGCAGGAGAAATGTGCTCACTTTTGTTCTCCTGCGGGGGGGGGCTCCTTTCTTTCCCGCTCCTCCAGCTCCCCAGCCGCGAGGCTTCGGGGGCAGGAGGTGAGGGCAGCGGGTGGGGGGGCGTTAGTCTGAAAGAAGGGGGTATTATTGCTACAAGTTTCACCATTTATCCCCACGAGGAAAATGGACGGGGGCATTTTGTGAGGGGGGGGGGGGGGG